ATTTACCTAACTACACTAACTACCTAACTTTAAATCTGGCTTCATTCCCCCCTCTAATTTGGGAACTCCTTACTGCTGTAAGGAAAGGGGACGAAGAAAATCTTTCTGGCTTCTTCAGGCTGACAAAAGGGGCGATGTCGGGGCAAGCAGTTTGGAGTCCCCTTTAAAAATATCAGGTCTATCGAGTGGTCCATGCTAAAAGTCCAATTGAGAAGTAATAGGCTGGAGGGCCATTCAAGTGATGGGTGGTCTCGGTGTAGAATATCTCGGTGGGACCTCCAATATGTTACCGCTGTTGACCGGTGACGAGTTCTTGCTCCCCGATGTTGAAGAATAACACCAAAGAAGCACGCCGAGGCAAGGTCAGAGTAGAGATTAGAAATTTATTAAAGGACAGAAGAAAAGACTTCTCCCGGAGGAAGAAGGGGACCCAAAAGGTGGAATCCCCCTAATTCTTGATTTTAAGAATTACAGACAACATGGGCTGGGGAGTGACTCAGTGGTAGAGCGCTTGCCTAGCATGTGTAAGGCACTGGGTTCGATCCCCAAACCACATAAAAAAACCTAAATAAACAAAATAAAGATATTATGTTCATCTATAATTGAAAATATTTTTAAAAATACAGACAACAATAAATGTTGGTGAAGATATGGGGGGAAAAGCACACTCATACATTGCTGGTGGGACTGCAAACTGGTGCAACTAGTCTGGAAAGCAATATGGAGATTCCTTGGAAAACTTGGAATGGAACCACCATTTGACCCAACTGTCTCACTCCTTGATCTATACCCAAAGGACTTAAAATCAACATACTATAGTAATGCAGCCACATCAATGTTCATATAGCTCAATTCACAATAGCTAAATTGTGGAAGCAACCTAGATGTCCTTCAATAGATGAATAGATGAGAAAAATATTACTCAGCATTAAAAAAGAATAAAATTTATGGCATTTGCAGGTAAATGGATGGAGTTGGAGAGTATCATGCTAGGTGAAGTAAGCCAATACCCAAAATCTTCTCTCTGATAAATGGATGCTGATCCATGGCGGGGGCAGGACATGGGGAAAATGAAGGAACTTTGATTGGGCAAAGGGGAGGGAGGGGTTGTGAAGGTGCATGGGGGCAGGAAAGATGGTGAAATGAGATGGACATCATTACCCTAGGTACATGTATGACTGTACACATGGTGCAAGACTACATCATGTATCACCAGAGAAAAGAAAAGTTGTGCTGCAATTGTACAAAATGAACCAAGTGTTATATATACCTAATTTAATTAATTAGTTAAAAATATTCTTAGGGAGCTAACTTCCTTTACCCCAAACTCAACAGGTTTTGAGGTGGTGACACTCAGTCTATAGGCTTTAGAATATATGGGAGCACTTCCGTGCTTTGCTGTCCATCATCGCATTTTGGGCTTGAATCAGAGAATCAAAGGATACAAGACCCTTAGATACTGGAGACAGAACTGGAAAGTTCCAGAGCCAGGATTCCAACCAGATGTCAGACAGAGCTCATACAGGGAAATCTTCTATACTGACACTAACTTCGCAGATTAATTTCATCTATTTTCAGAATTCACATGTGTGGAATCTTACATTATATGCTCTTTTCTTCTTTCTCTCAACATTATTTTTGTTAGGACATCATTTTGTTTTAACTGTCTTTGTAGAATTCAGCTGTTGCTTGCCTGCCTCCCACTGCTATAAAGGAACTCCATGAGGGCAGGGGTTTGGTCAATATCCCCAGCATCTTGCAGAGAGCCTTTATATAATAGAAAGTCAATAAATATCTACTGAATGAATGAGTAAATCAAACTTGATAGTTTTGAGTATGGTTTTAATTCATATATGGGGTCAGAGGTTGGGGGGCCAGGGCTGGACTTGAGCCATTTATAGAAAGCATAGCAGGTGGAGAAAGCTCTTCACTGTTCAAGGATGCTCAGAATACTGGGCTTCTTGCCCAGAGACCAAGCAATAAAATTAGCCTAGAGAATTAGAACTTCTAATAAGCCTAACCTATGCCAAGTATAATGTGGGTCTGGTTCTAGATTGCCTATGCTCAGTGTACAACCTAGCACTGAGAAACCAACCCAAAAAATGGTCTAGAATTGCCCTGTTGGGTTCACTTCCACTACCCAGAGCACATCTTCCTGCAGAGACAAACTCATGATAAACATAACAGAGCAAACAGGAAACCCAATTCCCTGAGAGATGCAACAAAAACTACAATCTACAAGGAGTTAAGGTGCTGAATTCAAATACGTGAAGAACTGTCCTGAAGCAAAGGGAGCCTAGGGGATTTGTGTGGCCTCAAAAGCAGAGCAGTGGGCAGGGACAGGAAGCAGAATTTGGAGGCACACAAAGGATTTGCAAACTCTGAAGTGGTAAGTAACAGAAGAAGCTGCCTTGGAAGAAAGTGAACCTGCCCACACCAAGGAGGACTCAGACTGGGGTTGCCCGGGGTTTCAGGCTTTGCACTGGGTGACCTCTGAAGTCTGTTCAAACTTCAGGATTCTAGGATTCCAGGATTTTAGAACCCAGCCTAAAATACGCTTGTCACCAGTCCCTCTTTGGGTCAGAGTTCTTCTTTGAGTAGAAATATTGAGGGGACACCGTGAAAAGGCTACAACAGCCAGGAGGGACAGCAGACTCCAACTCAACAGACACCTGACAGCTTCTACTCAGCATCCAGGATTAGAACAAGAGACATTCATTGTCCAAGAAAGGAAAGATACTCAAGGAAGATGTCCGAATGGGGAAGGCTGAAGGACAAAAGCAAATCTGACACCCAGACTGGCAAGGGAAGGGCCATGACAAGGTTTCTTCCATCAGAGAGCTGACATTCCC